GTAAAATTCTTATTCTGTTCATGATATTCGTTTTCAGTTTGATCCTAATTTGCATTATTACAGTTGTTTCAAGAACGATATTTTTCGTTGAGACTGATAAAGAAAATGTTGATTACTTTTTTTTGGTGTAAAGTTTAATGCAACAAAACATTGACGTAAAAATAAGCTAAGCACGTTCTTATGAGATGAGTAAAATAATGATGATTATTATTTTGTTGATGGAGAATGAAAAAAAGTTATCTTTTCATTTTTCCTCTGATCACCATTTTTTCCAATGAGCATCATTATCATTATTTTACTCATCATCACTTTCTTATAATAACCATTATCATCATCATTATCATTATGATATAGTGAATAAAAGTTGTTGAATCGATTCAATTCAGGTTAATTGGATTGAAAAATTTTCTATTTACTGTTTCCCTTTCATCATCCAATTAACCAGTTTAATTCGCTTTTTCAATCCTTATTGAGCTTATCATGGTTCCTTCAGCTTCAATCCATCCAATTGTTTTCACTCCCAATTCAAGCCAACATTTAGTTATCTACATCAAGTATCATCATGCATAATCATCATAACCTTCAAAACCAGTTAGACGCTCTGCTAGCAAGGTATTTGCATGTCGATGATAAATCGACCAAAGATGAAGATTTCTGTCAGATTCTTCCATGTCTTTCCAAATGAACAATTAGTCTTCCATTAATATTAATCTTAAGTGACATTCGACCCTCGCTGACTTTCATATCAACATTATACAGCTGAATATCCAGCATGAAGAATAGCTGGAGATACATTCAAAGAAAAGATAGGAATACTTTTTATTTCATTATACGACTTTTCATATCGATCTTGAAGAAGCAACCTCGAACTTCGGGTGCGGCAATATTACCCAATTCTCTTTCGCGAAACATGACAGTCAACTTGATAACTGTATCTGCAATCTTGGCGATTGATTTCGTTCTATAGCTTTCGACTGACTGACCAATGTTCAACTACTGTTCACATGGTCCTTAAGGGATTCACTTGAGTATTCGCTATTCCACAAAACTGGAGTATTGAGTTTTCGCTTAGCGTTTTATTATGCTATCAAAGATTCAATTTCATTCCGGGAGTTTTCGTTCCTCAAAAGTTCTCAATTAAGAACTTCGAGAATAAAAGTTGCTTTTTTCAGCAAATTTTTCATTTAACTCTAAATTTTCATCTAATTTAATGAAAGTCACATTCATTTCCTGCATTCAATTTAAAGGTAAAACTTCCGTTGAGCAAAATGTAACGTTTAAGACAAAAAATGTTATCAGTGTGAATGAGTGTTTTAAAATGAACAGGAAATTATTATATCAACTGTAAAACAAGTTTCAATAGTAAATTGAGTGATTTGATGAAATCTTTCTCTACGTTTCATCCTTCAACAATGCGACTTTATTAGTCTACTGGGAGTGATAATTTTTCTAGATATACCATGATTATCATCTGACAATAGAATGACTTTTCAAGGCTTGAGAATTGATGTATAACAGGTTGTAATGTCGAGTCGTTTAGTATGCGAAGAAACGCTGTTTAGTAATGAAGGTAAAAATTGATGCTATTGGTTGAATATTTGACGATCAAAAGTGATTCATCTGATTGAGAGATCTGTGAATAAATCTTGGAATCGTGTTTAATCGAATTTTCTGTTTACTTTTTCATTTTGATTTTTCTCTTTTCATTATTACATTTATTGTGTTTCAACTCATCATGTCAGCCTGTTCATGTGTGTGCATCACTTGTGTTTGAATTTTTAAGCGATAAAAAATTGAATTGCAATATCATCATCAATGTTTGCTCAAGTATTTCTCATTTTGTTTCCATTTGAAAAATTTTTCCTTCCATTCTGTTCTGTTAATGCTCAAGATGATTAGATAAACAGATAAACAGATAAACTAATAAATTGTTGTTATCGATAACAGGAAAACAATCGATGCTCAGTGAGAAGATGAACAGTTGAACAGGGACGAGAAGGGAGGGAAGAAAAGTTGAGAATGAAAAAAGAAGACAAAAGGACAATTGAGTTTTCAAGTGATATCAAGTAGGATATTGGATTGATATTGATCAATTGAATATCAAGAACTTTCTGATTAAAATTCCGTGTCAGTTTCATGGGGGAACAAGACAACAGTAAAAGCTTAATGGTGAATAAGACAATCACGATAGTGATGATGATGAAGATGATAATCCATATATTGATTTCAATTCACTTGCATTTGGAAATAAAACAACATGAAAATGGAAAATTAAACCAAATGTTGGATGAGCTAAGATGAGCAGGAAAAATGTAGAACAAGAAAAGTGTAAAAAAATTTTATTCAATTGTTGTCTTTTAATGGAAAAATATTCAGTAAATTTTTTCTCATGTAATTCAATTTCACATCATTTTCATTCCCTGATTTACTCTGGATGACATTTGATTTCAAGTTTTACATTAAAATTACATCTTTTGCAAGTCACTCTTACGTCAAAGTTATAGTTTCCAACCTTGGACAGAGCATTCATCTGACTGTGATTTTTTAAACTTGGAAAACAAGATTTGAGCAAAAATGAAATATGCATTATTCACAGCGCTGTACATTCTAGACCTGGAACAGTAGTTGAATAAGTGTCAGTCCTAAGCGATGAATAAAAATCTATAAAAATAGTCTGAAACTTAATATAAAGTTGACTGGTGTTTCGCGAAAGAGAGTCGGATTAACATAGCCGAACATGATAAATTGCTTCTTCATGAGCGATAAGCCAACATGGAAGTGTTTCCAAAAGTCCTGAGAAGAGTTGCCTTTTCTTTGTAAGTTACTAACGACTGGGTCCTTGAATGGTCAAAACTAAGATTTTTCGAATTAGCGATGCAGTTAGATTGAAGATCTGAATTTCGTCTATGAGTTTCATGATGAACTTTCACGTCAAACAATCCAAATTTTGCATGTGCTTTTGAACGAACAATCAGGATTTTAAAATCACTTTTGTGGTCAACCATCAGTGAAAAATGGAGAGAGACATATTCAAAGGAAAGATCCGGTTGTTCGAATTTTTTCAGGCTCGATTATCTCAGCATTTATCGATAAGTTTGTATTAATCGACTGGACAACACGTACTCTGCGCGTATCCGAAGTATGAAAATAACTCGATAACAGTAGTTATACGAATGACTATTTAAGAAACATGAATCGAATTAGTCTTTCAGCTTGATAATATCACTCAAACAGGAAAGTTCAGATTTAAAAAGGTCAAATCTTTGACTCTTTCGATTGAATATGTGAAGCATTTGATGTGAAATTGTAAATGCCATTATCGTCTAAATTAAATACCACTAAAGGACGAAGACCAAAAGAATAGGGAAAAGTGCCTAAAAATAGAATTTCCTCAAAGTTCTGTACTTGATGTAAAATTTTATGTCAATTCCAAAAATTGATTCCATTTTTCGACATGATGTATAGTTTTCGAGTTATCAGGTTAAAAATGTTGAAATGTTGAAAATGGCCTGAACCAGTTTTGAGTGACAAAGTATTTTGAATATTTTGTACATAATTGACTGCCCTCTATTCAAAAAATGTATCGGTATATTTCTATCATCGGGGCGTCTATGACTTTTTTGATAACGCTTGATATTTTTTTCGGGTTTCAGCCTTTTGGCCCCTTAGATGATTTGAGTGACAAAGTATTCTGAATATTTATCATACATTGGACCATTCTCTACCCAAAAATGTATCAGGATATTAGTATCATCGGGGCGTAAATGCTCTTTTTCAAGAAAGAATAATATTTTTTGAATTTTTGTTGTCTTGAAAATAGTATATACCTCCCGATGATGTAGATACACTGATACATTTTTTGCAGAGAAGACGATCCAATGTATGGTATACATAAGAAATCCTTTGTCACTCAAATGACCTAAGTGGCCAAATGTCTAAAAACCGAAAAAAATATCAAGCGTTATCAAAAAAAGTCATAGACGCCCCGATGATAGAAATCTACCGATACATTTTTTGGATAGAGGGCAGTTAGTTATGTACAAAATATTCAAAATACTTTGTCACTCAAAACTGGTTCAGGCCATTTTCAACATTTCAACATTTTTAACCTGATAACTCGAAAACTATACATCATATCGAAAAATGGAATCAATTTTTGGAATTGGCATAAAATTTTACATCAAGTACAAGACTTTGAGGAAATTCTAATTTTTAGGCAGTTTCGGTCTTTATCCTTAAACTGGGATTTATTTCTGTTCAATGTACTCTGTTTGTGTAAAATGATGAAATTGTTTAAGCATTACAAGCTTTTCCGACAACATTTAGTTTATTATCATTATAATAATAATTTTGGATTGTCAGTTGACGTTGAAATTACTGTATAAAATGCGAAAAGTGAAGGCAACTGCAAAGATAACATGGTTTTAGTTGATGGTTTGACGAGGAAGAAGAAGAGGACAAAAAAGTCAGAAACAAAAAAAGTAATACAAGTTAAAGATTCAAAGCCAAATGAAATGGATACAAGAAAAGCTGAAAGGAACTTACGAACCTTTTAAGATGATGATGATCATTATTATTAGATACACTAGATACAAGCTATTACATGCTTTTTTGTCAACCTTGAATCGGACCTTAAAAAACGATGAGAAGTGATGAAAATGAAAATTGGTCAAAGAAGATGTTGATGATAGTAAAGAGGAGAAACGTCAATATAAATTGATGAATAATCATTAAGGTTAACAGCTTTTTGTTTTCTTGTTCAATTGTTCCATCGACTTTGAACATTGCCATATTGAGGCAGACTTGCAACGACCAAACGTTAAGCCAGACTCTTTACAAAAGTGTGCAAACTTGTTATTAGAACATAAAAAGAGGCAAAAAATCAAACAACTTGAAAGCCGTTAACTGTTATTTATCTTTTCCTTTTTTTGTACTCTTTCTCCATGTAATCTCATCTTTCTACTTTTCTCTCTCTCTCTTTCTTTTATTGCTAAAATTAGATTACGTATTTGATGGTAAATCATCAGTTGAAGAATCATTGGCTCGGGCTGTGATTCTCAGTGAAAGGAAACTCGGTGAGGAACAGATTAAACAAATGGTTGGACTTACTATTGATCTGGTTCTGGCTATTTTAAGGAACATCGTTGTTGGTGAAAAGCCACTTACATTTGCAGCTCCTTCAGGCTTATCACTTACCATTGAAATGTAAGTATCATCATCATGGTCATCATTATCATCATCATTCAGAATCACCCAGAAAATCAGAATCAAATAATGGGTCATCTTAATGACACAGAGTGCATTGAATTATTAGTATAACAAACAGGCTTCAACCAAAGTAAACATATTGTTCACTTTTACAAAAGGCACAACTTTTCAGCTTTTTTTCCTGTTCGCTTCTGCATTTCCTTCGGTTACTGGTTACAATTACTTTGCCTCCATTCATCATGTAATCAACAATATTATACTGATGCAGCAACATCAATGACAAATTGCGATAAACGAAAAGATAAGACAAAAATCGAAAGATTGAGTAAAGTTGAAACAAGAGTTGTTTTGCATTATTGTAACAAGAAATTGATAAAGATAACAACTGGTTTACTGTGATCTCAGTCGATTTTATCCTAATCAACTTTTGATTGACAGTTTTTTAGACTCGACTTTCAACTGCTTTACATGATCGGATTATCATTGTTAGTGTAACAAGATATTGAAAGGTTGAAAGTTAAAGCTACTCTTGAAGTTTGAAGTTATCTGTGAATAGGTTTAGAGTTTGATGGAATTGGTTGGCTAAAAGTTCAGGTTGATATTGAATTATCTAAACAGATTAAATTTAAAATTGATTAGTTTTTGAATATTTAAGAGTTGATTTGATGTTGAATGTTTCAAAGCGGTTGACACTTTTGTTTGGCAAGCATTGCTTAGGTTTGTTTGTATCATTTCAGGTTCAATGGTGGCGGACTTTCCAATAAGTCTATTCAGCATGGCGACGCTACTTATATTTTCCCTGAAGTTTGTTCAATTTTAACGACGAAAGAAGCTTGTCATGGCAATGAGACGATGGGAATCATGGTGGGTTTGAGATTTAATTTTTTTGGTTATTTTCTCTTTTTTTGTTTTCTCGATTCATTTTTAATTTTGAAAATTCAATGTTTTTTTTCTTTTTTTCACTTCTGTTTATTCAGGCAGTTTCATGGCCTTCAATCTTGGAATCTTTTGGTAACAGTGTTGACCTACTTTCAGAAGATACTCAAACACTTCAGTTGATTGTTTTAGATGAAGATTTAAGGATACTTGATGTTTCAAATGCAACCGATTACTTTTCAATAATCATTCCTCGCTCCCTGTCCAGTGATTCATTGGTTGAATCAAATGAGGTTGAGGGTTCCCTAGTCACTGGTGCACATTCATCAAGCTTACCAGAGGGTGACTTTATTGTGCCCAAACCAAGGCCAGGTGAATCGATGCAATACCATCAGTTTTTAGTGACCAAAGCCTATTCAGCACTCAACATTGAGATAACACCGACCAACCCTTCATCTCGACTAATTCTTTTCCTTCACTATAAATCGAAACCTTTTCTGTCTCTTCATGAAGTCTCTATTCCACTCGGTGTAGTGGGCAATCAAAAGGGTTCAACGCATGACATTTTCCTGGGCAACTCCATCATAGCCAACAGAACGGGCTTCTTTTACCTGGGCATAGCGTGTGCCAACGAATCGGCCATTCGTGATTCATCTTATTCCTATCTACTCGATGACATGATGATACACACCAATTTGACCATGAACATTTCATCAACAACCGAAAATGTAACTACAGCCGATTGGATGATGCGAAACTTCGATACCAACTATACACTTCGAATCTACACTTCGGGTTGTTACTTCTACAACTATTCAGATAAAATTTGGTCTGGAAAGGGCTGTTTTGTGGCCACGGCTAATGCACACATGACCCACTGCAAGTGCAACCACTTGACCTCTTTCGGTTCAGGCTTCTTCATCATGCCCAATACCATTGACTTTTCCTACGTGTTTGCCAATGCAGGCTTTGTGGACAATATAACCATCTACTTGACTGTCATACTTACACTTGTTGTGTACATTTCATTGGTAGTCTGGGCACGAGCTGCCGACAGAGCCGATCTTCGTAAACTCGGAGCCACTCCATTACCCGACAATGATCCAAAAGACAAGTATCTATACGAGATTACAGTTTACACGGGAGACAAGGAAGCCTCTGAGACTGACTCCAAGGTATCATTTATCCTATCGGGTGATGACGATGAAACTGATGTGCGATCCTTTAGCGATCCAGAGAGGAAAATATTCCGTCGTGGTGCTCAAGATATATTTGTCATGGCAGTTCCAAGGAAACTTGGTCGATTAACCTATTTGCGCATTTGGCACGACAACTCGGGATCAGGCAGGAAGCGCTCTTGGTTTTTGAATTTCATTGTTATTCGCGATGTTCAAACGGGAGAAAAGTTTGAATTCATTTGCAACAAATGGCTTGCCGTTGAAAAAGGTAAACAGAGTCACTCAAATGTCAGTTAAATTGATTCAGTTAATCAAGTTGGAAATTGAAAAATTTCCATCTTCCATGAGACTGAGCACCAATTTAATCGAGATTATTTGTGACACTTTATATCCATTTCATCTTAGAGTGTTCATGAGTTGCTCAACTTGTCAATAGCAAAGTTGTTGCAAAGTTGGGAAAAGGCTTCTTGTCATTGCCTGTCATTAAGTTGAGGTTAACTTGGGTTAACTTATTCACCATTTTACTGTCTCAAATTATTTCTTAATCAACACTCTCATTATTATTTTCATCGTTTCCATCACCATGATCATCATGATAATCATGATGAGTTTGATAATGGTTATGATGAAAAGCATTACCTGCCTTAACATCAATCCAATAAGGTAAAGAAAAGAAGCCAAAAAATTGGTCTAAAAATGTAACGTGAAGTGAATGGTTAAACAAAAAATACTGAACATTTGAAAGTTGAAGGAAAGGCAAAGTACGAAAAAAAGGGAAAAGCAAATGTAATTTAAAGTTTACAAATTTTCGAGGTGAACAGTCCATCGTCAAGTACATCTAGGTTGGGTTAATGGGTAAGAGTGAAAACAAGAGACACAGGTGAATGAAAAACACTTGAAGCAAATTGAGAAGCGAGTTACATTTAAAGACGAGAAGGAAAATGAGGCAAAAAGAAGAGAAGAAAAGATTCAATATTGAACATGATATGAACATGAAGAGAAAAAGTGAAAATAGATTAACAAATTGAACTCTCGACACTCTGGAAATTTCAATTTACTTTCCTTCTTTTACCAACTTTTAGCTGTACCTTGAAAGACCAACTAAAGATGCAATTTTTCTTCTTCTTTCATCTTTTTTTTTTCTCGATTCAACTCGATTCTTTTATTAACCACAGAAAAAAAAGTTTCTCTTTTTACCGCCATCTTCTTTTCTCCTGTGACCTTTTCCTATCTGAGGGAACAAGAATAACATGAAAAAAAAGTTGACAAAATTGAACAGTTTTCTTCTTCCTTCTGGTTCAATTGAAGTAACCAAAAATTTGAAGATGCACAATTGATTCAATTAGTTGCTGGTTAAGGTAACAACAGCAGACTTTGCTTGTCAATTATTTAAAGGTTTGCTAATTAGCTTATTCAATTAAGGATGATAATGATGATACAACTGATTGATTTGTTGAGCAAACAAACTGCATTTTGAATGTTAAACCTGAATCAACAAGAGTTTAGAAAATCGAAAGTCTAAAGTTCGTTTTAAAGGTTAATAATTTGAAAACATTTTCCAAGTTTGAATCGTTTTATGTTATTTGCTCCAGTAAATATTCAAGAGATTTAAGTGAAGCTCGATTTTTTCGTCTCTTCAAGTTTTCCAATTCACTTTGAGATTATTCAATTATCTGTTGAAATCTATTCTTGAATAGTTTACCAATACTTACAGGTCAGGATGAAACTGTATTTACTTTCGAGTTTGCATGACAATGAAATTGTTGAAAGAGATGAAGATAATGATGAAAATGATGTGATAATATTTTGCCTCTTTTGTCATGAAAAGAGGCCAAAAGTTGGCAAAAGTTTTTTTTTTCACTTGTAAATGCTCTTTATTTGTTCATCTTAACTCTCATCAATTTCAGCTTCATTTTTTGTGTTCACTTTCAACTATTGATAACAACCGATTATCTCAATACATTTCACTCTCAGCATTTTCACTTTTTTTCTTCTCCTTCTTCTCTTTCAACATCATTATCATTATCATCATTTTTTCATCATTGTTCAATTTACTCTCACCTCACACCCAGAGCAGCAAAATTTTCACTCCCAGTCTTTGCATTCCCAGTCCAATACTTTTTGCACTGCTTCTACACTTTCCTCTTCATGTACTCACATCAAAAACCATTTTGCTTCAATAAATGAAGCTTACTGTCTTCGACTCACTCATTTCATCTTCTCTCTCATTTTTCCACTTTTTTTCTTCTCCTCCATTCGTCAAGTCTCTTCTATCATGGGAATTTTGCTGCTAAGATTGATGTTTACTTGAAAAAAAAGAAATTTTTTTTCTCTCATCAATGAGTATTTTTGCTTCCAATGCAGACCTTTTGTTGGACAGGCAAGAGGTAATGTTGAATGAGTTGGACGAGAAGAAAAAAATGAACAGTTCGATTCTTTGTGTGATGCTGATGGTGTGTTGTTGATGATTTTGATGATGATGATGATGATTCTGTTGATGATTTTGTTGATGGAAAAGAAATCAAATGAAAGAGAAACTTTTTCACCTTTACTATCCATTGACTGGCAGGAAAAGTGCAAAACCATTGAGACCATCAAATGATTGCTTTTCTTGACCGACTCTTCTTCATCCATTTGGCTTCATTTAGACTCGAGGTTTGACAGTTTTAACGATGATTATGAACATTCATAAAGAGCCTTTTCCTTTTTACCTGCAAACTCGAATCAACTTTTCCAAATTTAAGTTTCCTCCTTTCATCAGCTTTCCATGTTTTTTTTTCATGTGAACTTTGATAAAGCAAGAAAGAAAGAAAAGGCAAAGTTATCTCGAAAAGTTCAGGAAAAGAAGAAAAGTCAAAATAACAAAGTCAACCTAAAAAATAAAGGTTGAACCAAAAGTACAGCCAAAAGATGCTAGACTTTCAGATAATTTACTTGCTGTCTATTGATAGAACATCCATGACTTCTTCAATTGAATGAATTTTTCAAGATGAATTGTTGTCTTCAAAAAGTGCTGAAGGGCAAACGAACCTTGGGTTTCGAACTTGCGAAAATTTTAGCATTAAATCGAAGATATTTATTTCTCGATTCCAGAATTTCTCAGTTGATAGTTTTTCAATTTTTCTTGTGTCCCTACTTTTGGGTCACCCTTTACTAACCTGTCATTTAAGCTTGGTCAATTGAACTTGTACTCGATTAGCCTTTACTTGGTCTTTTCTTTTTCTTCGTTTCTTGCCTTTTCTTTTCTTCTTTTTTTCATGATTATATTTGATTCTTTTGGAGGAGCTTCAGCTTGTGAAAAGGGCAACAATTGAGAGGCCAAAATTCAATCAAGAAACTAGAGCTGATTGTGACAAAAACAGGGAACCAAAATTGAAATGATAATCAAAGGGAGAAAAAAGTTGACTTTAAACTTTAAGCTAGATTTTCATCATTTGGCTGAAACCTTCAATTACACAATTCTTTGTTTCATGATGATCAAGTTACTGATAACTTGTAATTTATAAAAATCAATAATTTAAGAAGGTAATTTTGTCTGTGCAAAAAGTGCTCAAAAACTCAAATAGACTGCAATTGAACAATGATTAAATCGATGAGAAAGTTTCGTTCTTTGTATTTACTTTGTTTTGTTGGTTTCCATTTCAGGTGATGGCGTTATAGATCGTCTTATTCCAGTTGCTGGTCTTGGTGAGGCAACTGAGTTTAGCCACTTGTTTCACAATAAAACATCAAAAGGTCTCAAGGATGGACATTTGTGGTTCTCAGTGTTTCTCAGGCCAACTCGATCCAGGTTTACTCGAGTTCAACGAGTTTCTTGTTGCATGGCCATGTTGTACTTGTCTATGCTAGTCAATGCCATGTGGTATGAAAAGGCGCCACCAAAGCCTCGAGCTTCGGCTCTAGAGTTTGGACCATTTACATTGAGTCCTGAGCAAATTGGAATAGGTTTCATGTCCAACTTGATAGTTTTTCCGCCCACCTTTTTGATTGTCTTGTTTTTCCGTAAATCACGACTTCGACGGTTACGACCATCGCGACTTGAAGAGACTGCCAAGAGGCAAGGTATACCTTACAAGAAGCTAACCCCCGACTCTGGTTCTGCATCAGCATCTACAGTCTCTCCCATCGCCACCATTGATCGACCTTCCATCACAGATTCACCCGTCTTGGGTGGAACCATAAGTACAGTGCAACATGATCCAGCTTTTGGTATGACAAGTAAGACGAGTGGAGTGGGCAAGAGCAAGCGAACCATGAAGAAGCCCAAGAAGCAATTTTTGTTTCCTTGGTGGTGTCGTTACATTGGGTGGGCCTTGTGTGTCATATGCATGGTCGTCTCAGTCTTTTTCTTGTGGGCTTATGGAGTCCAGTTTGGGGACAAAAAGACTCGTCAATGGTTAACTTCACTTGTAATTTCATTTTTCGCTTCAATCCTCATCACTCAACCGATAAAAGTGTTTCTCACGGCCATTATATTGTCGACCATATTCAAAGCACCTGATGCTGATGTTGATGAATCGGAGCAAGATGAGGAAGACATTGACCTTGAATTGAGGCCTGATGAAGAGTGGCTACACGACTTGGCTTCAATGTCTCCCCATACTCGTCGACGAGGAGGACGTCGAGCCAAGTATTATCGACCACCCAACTTGACAGCACTTGAACGGGCAAAGTTGGAGCGACTCAAAGAGATTCAAATGGGCATCATTTTAAAAGACATTTTCTCGTATCTTGTTTTCCTTTGGCTTCTTATTGTACTCTCATATGGTAACCGTGATCCCAATGCCTTCCTGACCAAAGACGCAGTCAAGGCAACCTTCATCAAAGGAGCCAATACGGGAAGTGCATTCACCTCGGTATCAACCACAGAGGGTCTATGGGAATGGATTGAAAAGACTTTGATTCCAGAGCTGCTTGTAGGTCCGTGGTACAATGACTATCAACCCTATGGAATGCGTGGTTTCCTCAATGATCGTGTTAACCGTGTCATGGGTTACGGTGTGTTGAGATCAACTAGAGTACGAGAGTCAACCTGTTCAATGCCGGGTACAATGGAAAAGCTGTTGAAATCACGAGCCAAATGTCGAAGTTTTGGAAACATAATATTTGAAGATCGTCGTTCATATGGTAAAGGTTGGACACCTTTCAACTTTACCTCATTGCACACTCCAATTCACAAGAAAGGTGCACTAACTTCACCAGTAAACTCGTCACTGGCACAGTCACCATCACCCGATTATGAAGAGATGGACATGGACGATGCTGGACCACTTGAAGAAGGCATAACAACCAAATTACCAGGTGAAGACATTGTCCTAGTCAACCCGTCCAAGTCCAAGAAGACTCCTTGGCAGTATCGTAAACCATCCGAACTCGATGGACTACCCTTTTGGGGTCTTCTTGATGTCTACTCGGGCGGTGGTTATACCATTCCCTTGAAAGGTTCTCGAGCCAGTCTTTTGTCCAACTTGGCTATTCTCAAAAACAACAGTTGGATTGACAGTCGAACCCGATCCGTGTTCGCCGAGTTTTCAGCCTACAATCCTCAAGTCAACCTGTTTACCGTAGTCACTATTGTAGCTGAATTTCAGCCTGGCGGTGGAATCGTGCCCAACTATCGGATAGACGTTGTCCGTCTCATCCGTTATCATCAGGGCTTCGGTCTATTTGTTATACTCTGTGAACTTTCCTACGTTTGTTTCATAATTTACTTTACCGTTCGTGAGATTAAAAAACTTCGCTCTGAAGGATTTTACTATTTCACCTCGTATTGGAACTGGGCTGAACTGTTCATCATTATATGCTCCTATGTGGCCATTGGACTTTACATTTATCGTTCAATATTAACTCACACAATACTCAAAATTTTTGATCGAACTCACGGCAATGGGTACATTAAACTTCAATATGTAACCTTTATCGATGAGCTCTTTGGCTACATTATGGCTTTCGTCATATTTATTGGTATATTAAAGTTTATCCGTTTACTGCGTTTCAATAAGCGAATGGGCCTGCTCTACTCGACTCTTCACCAATGTTCAAAAGACTTGAAATCTTTTTGCATCGTTTTCTTAATCGTCTTCTTTGCCTTTGTTCAACTGTTTTACCTTCTTTTTGGCACTTCATTACCCGACTTTAGTTCGTTGGTCAATGCCGCTGAAACTTCATTCGGTATGGTAACTGGCAAGTTTGACTTTGAGGCAATGGTCACTGCAGCACCAACCCTGGGTCCACTTTCATTCTTCATCTTTGTACTCATTGCTCAAATTGTTTTGGTCAACATTTTCTTGACTCTAATTATATCGGCTTTTGAAACGGTTAAACATGACATTGCCAAGCAAAACAATGAATTTGAAATGGTCAACTTTGTATTGAACAAGTTTAAAGAGATTCTGGGCATTGACGGACATGGTTCAGTTCATCCAGGTTCCTATGAACCTTCCAACCAAACCTTGTCCATTCACGAACAGATGAAGCTGCTACCCGAAAAAGTTGACCAGTTTATTGCACACATTGACGATCTATTTTACTCATCCGCCAAGACGGGCAGTTCACCGGCCGTCTCGGTGGGTGCAACACCAACAACATCCAAATCATTGTCAACAAGCAAGACCAAGTATACAGACTTGATGAATACCAATTTACGAAGGTCAAATGTCACCTCATCAACAATCATGGAAGCAAATGTCAACGACTTTTATCCCGCTCCTGGAGCACGAGTTAGGACCGGTGGAAGAGCAGCCCGTAGAGCCCGCCGTCAGTCAACTTCAACACCACAGCATCAAAATTTCAATCAATCAGGTGGAGGTCTATTGGATTGGCAAGAAATTTCAAGTCGTAAATGAACATTCAAAGGATCACTAATATGAATAAAAAGGACAAAACTCGAAGTGGAAAAAAGGAGCGAAAATAACAATTTAAGTCGATAAAAGGATGATAATAATCGAGTATTTTGAATAATAGAATGTAAATTTTTATTCTAGTTTCTTCATTCTTCTGGAATGATCATAATTATAACGCAAAACGACAAACTCGTCAACTTTCAATGCTGAAACTTTAATAACAAAAATTCAAAGTTAATCATTAAAATTGTTATCAAATAAGATTGTCTCAACTGAGCAAAGATGTTATTTTTTCCTGTTAAAAAAATGAATGTTTAAATACGATGCTAATTCATTGTCATTTAACTGAATAACGAAAAAAAAGTTCTGTACACAACTCGATAAAGTATTTCAATAAAAAGCAAAAAAAAATTATCGCAACTTAATTTTGAAATGTCCATCATTTATTGAAATAAGACGAGGATTTATTAAAAACGGAATCGGTGGAAAAGTCAAAAAAGTCAAAATTTGCAAAAATTCGAATCAGTTTTGAAGTTGATCGAAATTTCGGAAAATAAATATTTTATTCCAAAACTTTATTCCATTATACAAAAGCAAATCATGAAATGGTAAATGATGAATTACAAAAGGTGAATAATTTGCGCACTGTTTTAGCAGCCCTCAACATTGGATGAAATGTGATGATGAAAAAAGATGACAAATGTGACGTAAAAGGTAAGAGACGAATGATGCAGATGAAAATGAAGAGTAAAAGCATCAACACAAATAACTGTGCATAACTAAACGCTTGGGAGTCAATCTCATGAGGGCAACTTTGTTCTCCTTTTCATCTTGATATTGAAAAGGTCTACAAATGAGGTTGAATGAAGAGCAAAGATAAATGAAAAAAATGATGAAAATGATGAGAAACAAGAGAAACAAATAACAGTAAAAGGATGGGATGAAGGAAGACAAAGAAGAAAGTTACTTAAAAGATTTTTTCTCGTTTCTTTTTTGTATGCATTTCTTTTCGTTTTTTTCGTCTTTTATTGAAAGAAATACTTTCTTCTTCAATTGGCCCACAGTTTAATGTGATTGTTGTTGGCACCTTGAAACACACACAAACACGGTCTAGGTAAACACAGTTCGAGTCTCACCTCAAGATTTGAAACAATATTTTTCTTTTTCTTTTTGTTTCTTTTACCAAGTTTTTACATCAACATTTCAGGGTAAAACAATTCTCATGGATTAATTTAGTGCGCTTGATCGAGTTTCATCAACTTTCATTTAACTGTAAAAAGTGTTTTTTTCCTTCTATTTTCATTCATTTTTGTTTCTTCTTTGCTCAATCAGTTTGCTTTGCTTTTTTTTGTTTCTTGTTTTATGTAACAATTTTGTCTGTTTAACAAAATTATTCAAATCACGATCTTGGAGTAAAAAAACGCAAATGAGTTAATTTAATTTCATGTTTCACTTGATCAAAGTTGGTTGAATGATTGATTAAACTGCTCTTTATTTGTGTTTATAACTTTATTACTAATAGTTGATGGAAACATGAACAGAAACATGATAATAATTGTATAAAAAATTGATTTCCATTTGAGAAGGAAAATGTTTCTTATGCAAAATTCAAGCTCAATAATCATGAATTAAAAGTCAACATTGAATTTTCCAAATGAAAAATGATTCCAACAATGAATCGAAAAAAGTTTTGATCGAAATTTAAATAATCAGTTTCGACATGAACATTGAACGAACCAAAAGCTTAATTGGATGAAATTTTATCAAAATTTTGCATTTCCCGTTCCAAATTGGAATAAAACTCAAGCATCGAAAAATAGACTTTTTTATATTTTCTGAAATCTATCCTGATGCATTGCCGATGATGAATCGATGAAACTTTTTTTTCTCATCTCAAACTCATCGAATCATCAAATTTGATTTGAAAATTACTCTCAGTGAATGTAAAAGTTGAAGTTGTATTCAAGCTTCATCTAAAGGAGTAAAGATGACAATGAATTTTATCACTATCTGAACATGAGTTTGACTTTGATCATGCTCAATCAATTTTATCCCGATTTCTTTTCTCTCTCTTCTCTCTTTTACTCTTTCTCACCTTCTTCTCCTTCATCTTCTCATCATGACCAACCTAGTCTCACAATGCACTCTCTTTACTCTTTTCCAGACCGCCTTCTCATTCAGACAGTCAAAGAAAGAGAATCTTAATAGTAATCATCATTTCACATGATACACTTGGTGAAACTACTACAACCCAAACAGTAACTGTTAGTAGATCGTCCATATTCATATCAAAAGGTTGACTTAGTGTAACAAGAATCGATAAAAACGGATAAAACTGAATGAACGAAGTTACTTGAATCTCTGTAACGACAAAGTTTTTCACAACTCGACTGAATGCTTGTGTTGGAGAAAAGCTAACCATTGAAGCCAAATTGTTCAGCCGATTGTTGAACCTTTTCTGTGTGTTCTTCCTATGTGTGTGTCCATCACAATATCAGTGTTTAAAGCCGTCTCACATCATTCAACTTGTCCATCTTGGAATGATTAAGGAAATGTCTATCAATGTCGCGAAAGTTTACCGGTGATTTTCACTCTAAAAATCATTCTCATTGCCATACAATTGAAATTATGCGTCTAAAGGAGCGCATTGTGATATTTTTAATAGGCATTTGTGGTGCTCTATGCATATTGTTTGTAATTCATGCAAAGATTGTTGACGATCAATTTGATTATCCCAAGCCATACAGGTAAATATCATCAATCAATTTCAATCAATATCGACACTTGGACATCTTTTCCCACTTCAATCACTCAATGAAAGAAAAACTTTTTTATTATTAGAGTGAGAGAAAATTTTTCATTTTCATTTTACTCAATATTGCAATTTGAAACAATGAAAAGGATAAACATTTTTTGCGCTAAGATTCAATACATTTTCACCATTTCCATGTTAATATAACAAGTAACACCCAAATATAATAATAATGAGCAACATTATCTTTGATAATGATTTTTTATGGACTAAAAGTGTATACAGAAAGAATGAAGAGAAAAAAAAGATTTTTTTTCTCTCCTGCAATTCCATTATTCCATTATATCCTTTTTCATTTCTAATTTAGTGTTAATTTCATGTTATAACAGGTTCCTTGATAGTCAAGACTTTGCTCGCCTTAATGAGCAAAGGTCACCTGAGAGTGGACATGGTGATACATTTAAAAAGCGTGTGCTTTACCGTCAAATATCACGAGAATATGAACAACAACAACAACAGCAGCAACATCAACAATCAGCACAAAAACAACATCCTATTCAACAGCAAAAACTAACCTCTAAAGGTAATCATTTTCATATGAAAATTAACTGACGTAACTTTACCCTATTGACTTGCCCAACTTCAACCCACAAGGTTAACCTTGCCAAGTCAAACATTTAATTGTCATTTCACTTGTTTGTACTTCGCAAGGTTAACCTTTTTGACTCTACATTAGGACACAATAGATGTTTATTGTTGATTATTTTATCGCCAAGTTCCAGTGAATTTCATCTTCTCATCATTTTTCAGCTAATCTTGGCTAACTTTTCACCCTCTTTTTCATTTTCAACGACTTTTTTACATTTTTTTTCTTTTCTCATCAACTTTGCAAAAAATGAAAATTTTGACCGTTTCTTTATTGCGCCCTTTTCTTCCAATATTTTTTTCTTTCCCTTTATCTTTATGCTTTTAATGGCGACACAAAAAACACTTGAAACTTTATATATTTATAAGCTGATCATCAACTGTTCAATTTATGAATGTGTCATCGTTATTGTCCCAAGTTGGCCTGAAAATTTGGGGTCAAAATTTTTCCCTTATAAGTGATGAGGTGAAAATTTCGTCACTTGAAGGCATTAAAAATGAACTTTACAGGCCTAAAGTCAAGTCGATTTTTGGTTAAAAAAACGCAAAAATGTAGCCAAAATCATGTTATTGTAAAATTTCATGATTAATTAGCCATAATGATTGATATTTTATCACTGCTATTATTGTCATTTGATTGACAATTAATGTGTACAAAAGTGGAAGAGTAAAGTTATTCAATTTGATTCAATCAACTATCAACCTTTATTCACAAATTCATTACCAATTACTTTATTAAATAACCCTATTCACTTGAAATGCATGATGATTTTCATGATGATTATTGTGTATGGCAATAAAAAAATGATGACAATACTTTGAGAAGAAAGAGAAGAAAGAAAAACTAAATTTTCCAATTTTCCGCAAAAATTTTGTTCTCACATTTCCACAGCTGAGCAACTGTCCATTTTGATGGGAGCAACACTCAACCTTGTCCCATCAAAATCGAGACTTTGCCTGGCCAAGTCAACGATGCTAAATGACTGCATGATGAAACCCTTAATCAGTCAAGAAAAGTTGAGATTAACGTTTCTCATAGGATTTGAATCTAATGAGAAAGGCTGAAATGTTTCAACTTGATGATAACTCATCAAATTCACCATTTTTTTCTCTCTCACTCTTTTCCTCTATCATCATGTTTATCATCCTCTTTCTACTAACTTTAATCTCTAGCTCTACTTTTCATCCTTGGTTGCTTGTGAATAACTCTGTCCTAGTCAGTCATTCAATCTCCTACAAACTTTCATCCAAAAAACTTTGCTTCAATAGCTTGAATAATATCCTCTGAATGATGAAAAAAATTTAAACTCAACACGGAAAGAACACATTGCTAATGTGAATACAAATTTGTAGCAAAATTTTAAAAAATCAATTTGATCAGATTGGTTAGTAAGAGAAAAAGAAGAAAAAATTTCCTTATTTTTGTCTTCAAATGACAGTCTACCTTGACTGAGACTTGAATCGTACTTCACCTGAAATTCACTTTTTTTCACTTGGAGACAGACTTTTTACCGGAAATTGAGCCACAAAAATTTTTAATTGCAACCAAATTGCTGGCTCAAACCCAATCTCAGTCTGATCAAAGTTGCCAAAAAAGTAAAGTTTCAAGATCAAATTCAATTCTCTGTTTTTTTCTCTGTTTGATTCAGGTTTGAATGAGGAAAATGAAGGTAAACTCTTTATATGTCAACCAATTGTTATAATAATCAAATGATATTTGCAGGTAAACACAGAGAAATGTTTGTTCAGGTGATTAAATTCATTCATAAATGAAATTTAACTAGACTCGTTGACAATTGATTCGAGATTTTAACTCTTTTCATTCTTGTTCAATGACAATTAACCATCAATATTGCAAACACTATCGATGGTGTTTTCTTGACAATCAATTTATTTTTTTGGACTAATTTTCCATTCCATTGTAAATAATTATCAATTAGTAATAACAAGTTTAGTAATTGAAAGGTAGGAAAGGAAAGGTGAGGGAAGAAGAGAAGAGAATAAATGAAAAGATTAATTAATTAATTAATGTTACAAGAAACTAATGTTAATTGTTTACTAATTGGATTCAATTAATAAACAGGTGGATAACGCTTGATACCTGAATCCAAGTTATCAGACTGTTTTTGTGGGCAATAAATTAAATGAACATAATTGATTGGTTAAGTTTGCTTTTATTGTTGCTATTAATGTTGATAGATTATTGTTTTATTGGAACAAAAACATGCAATGAATAAAAACTAATAATGCATATAAAAACCAATATATTGGTAAATGATTATCGATTTACTGTTTCCATGTAAAGCGCCTTTTAAATAATCTCAATGCCGTAGAGTTGAGGGATGAGATTAACGTAAAACATTGAAATGAAATAATCGATGAATAACTAAGAATAGATAAAAGCTATGAACGAACTTGATCTGAAAAGTTCAGTTTCCGTAAAAAACTTGCTTGAGACATTATTGCAGGGAAAATTAGCAATAAAAAAAGTATCTGAAGCCACTGAAGATTCCCCAATCTAAATCTTGATAACTTTATACGTAACTTGAATTAAATACTGATGTTAAAAATTAGAAAAAGGAAGCTAGCTATTGAACCTGGTTTACCCCAATTAGTTTCACTGCAACTGGAGATTCAAAATTATTGGGGTGATCTGAGTTAAGTATTGAGCTAAGTTAACATCGATAACTATTATATTATTCATTAGCGTCTCATTAACGATCAATAATCGATAGTCATGTGCTTGCGATATTTGCTATCAATGCTTTTTATCGAGTGTTGATTCGAACGAAATGTTGCAATTGGAAGGTTGTAATTACTTGTTCTTCAACAATGTTCAGACTTACTAGGGAATACCAATCAAACTTTGGCACGCTAGATTCACAAGTGCAATTTTGGTTTGATTTTCAAAGCAATTTTTCCTTCAATGAATCGTTGAATCTGCTTTCAGTCTAATATTTAGCCAAAGAATAATATTATGCTCTTGTAACTAAAACCAACTAACTCGTCCCTTTAAGACTCTAATAATCGATTTTTAACGAAACTTTGAAATGAATCAAACAAAGACGATAAAATGAATAACTTTTTTTACCATGAAGTTATATTTAAGCAATTGACGATGAGTCAATGGGGTAAAGTTTGGCAAAAATTATTAAGCAAATTCTCATTTCAATGGTCATTTCTATTCTTTTTATTCAGTTGGTGAAAATTTAAATTCATTATCAAATGGCAAATTGTTATCATCTTTAAACTCATTGCAATTGAAAAACACTGAATCTGTACAAATTGGAAATGAAAATTACAATAACATTGATTACGTTAAAAGCAATGGAAACCATGGAGTCAACACTTTGGTCTCATCTTCATCTTCCCTCTCAACGGTTAACCATCTTGGTGATATTGTTATTGTTGATGATGATTTTAGTGATTTGGTGAAAATTGTGAATAATTATAATAATATCAAACAACAAAAACAGCAACAACTTAAACCAATTGGATCAATTAAAAAGGATAAAGTTAATCAAGTGAAATCATTGTCAACCAAAAAACCAGGAAAATCAACTTTAAAGTCAACCTTTTATGACAATAGAGTTTCAACTCGAACAAAAAAGTATGGATTAAATCCAAGTTTAGCTCAACTCCTTAGCATTGACATAAAGTGAGTAACTTTTTTAACATATTAACTTGACAATACAATCATTTAATGGTCAATTTATGGTCAATGTTGAACTGTAATTATAAAGGCTAAATATCATCAAGATTATGTGAACTCTTTTAATCTCTTTCATGAGTGAACGAGTTTTTCAATGAAAATTTGAGGTTCGCTTAAACCGATTTTGTTTGTCTTTAGTTATTAATCCTGAAAAGTTGATGGCAACTGTTGTTAGTGATAATTAAAGCCTCAGATTAAAATGACTGGTAAAGAGACATGTTTGTTATCATTCAATAAAATGTGCTCAAAATTTCAACCAAACTTCTGTGTTACATCAAGTTAACCCACTTTTTTTTCTAAAGGATTTTCTTTCAATTCATTTACTCATTGAAGTCTTTCAATTCCGAATGAGTAACTTGAATTTCAGCCTAATGTCAAATGAATGACAGTAAAAAATACCAAATACAATTGTGCATCATACATGTATCTATCAACTCTATGCCATCGTTTTGGATCGCATTTCATTGAATTGATTAATACAAATGAGCGAATTTAAATAATTTAATTGAAAAATATTTAGCATTGCATACCTTTCCTACGAGATTAGGGTGAATCAATTCATTTATTTTTCTTGAATCTTATTAACCAATGCATTTCAATAACTGGTGCTAATAAACAAAATTATCAGCTGAAATAACTAACAGTCACCAACCACTAACAAGGAGACTTAGTACCTAAGCCCGATTTGGATGAGAGAGGTATGTCATTAGATAGAGCAAATTGAGTTATGAAAAGCTGTAGTTTGATCCATCTGCATGGTAAGTGGTTCCTGAGATATTTGGTTTAAATTTTGGGCATTTTTATTATTCTTTAAATCATTTAGAAGGTAAAAAACTACTGTATATGAAGAAACTCGAGCTCAAAATTATCCTCCATACTTGCTCTTGAACTTTTATCTGCTCGGCTAACCCTTAGCACGCACTAAGAATCGATTAATAATCGTTCATTATTATAATCGATTTCAAAATAATCGATACAATAGGTTAGATTAGCTTAGATTAGATTACAATTGAATTCGATTGATCGACAGTTGATTTTTAATCGATTTTTTGTATCAAACATTGCTTAATCCGATTAATGGTGTCGCTAAAAGGCTAAAAATAAAGATGATATATATTCACAGTTGAACCTGTAAATGTTTGGTTTCAAAGAGAAAGATTCATCGATTCTTTAGTAATACAGAAGATTTACAAGTCCAAACTTGGTTCAAGTTGAGTGAAGCGATGCAAAACGTGATTTGAAAGTGCTTCACCATTCACTAGCTTTTATTGATTGGTATTGAAATCAACAAGTTTTTGTTGCTGTCCATTCATCGGTCCATTCAATTGATTAGGCCGTCAATTTTAAAGAGAAAGTAAATTAGTTTGTTTCTTTTGTCTCAACTTGATTATAATGTTACTTAGTCTTTTTTTTGTTCAAGTTGATTTTTCTGTTGGATAAACTTTGCTCATCATTATCGCCCTGAGTAAAACAAAATGAAAGTGTATTAAGAGTAGAGTTATAAAAGGAAAGTTGAACTTTCTCTTTATTTGATTCTGTCAGTTCTGGTGAACGACCATGAACTTTTAATACACTTTTGAGTGAACAACAGCAAAAACCTAACTGGGAGAGGAAAGCAAAGGAAAAGGGTTATAAACATTTTACTTCTTAAATGGGAAAAAAAGGAAAAGAAAATGAGGAAGAAGAAGATGAAGATGAGAGAAGATGAAAGAAGAGGAAAAAAATAGATGAGAATTAAGAGCAAGATGAATACGAAAGAAGAAAACCAATTAAGTGGTTTTCTTTTAACTCTTTCCTTCATCTTCCTTATCATCATTATCATCATCAGACAAAATCTTCATTTCAATTTGCTTTTTCACCTTCATTCAGTTCTAATGCTTTCTTCACCAAATAATCTCAACTCTTTTCTTTCAAAGTTCATCATTATGTTCAATTTCAACTTCAACTTTTCATCGACTCACAAAAGTCGATCAAATAATCAATAAAAACAATTGAACAGATGAAAGACCAACAATTCAAATTCATTATCAAGCCAATTGAGAATGACCTTTTGCTCATATTTTCATGAAAAACTCGTCAAATATCAAATGAAAAAGGTTAAAAATTGAACATTCAACCTGAAAGAGTTTCATTTTTCGACTGAAAAACTCATTTCTCAATGAATCTTTATCACTTATCTGATCCTGATTAAAGGTTTTCCCTGAGCAAAAGGATCCACTTTTTAGTTCAAGAATTGAAAATAGAAATGAGAAAAAAACGATTTGACGAAAAAAATTCTTAAAAGATTATCTAATATCATTTGCTATTTTCACCTTTTCTACCTTTATAATCAATTCCATCAAAGAAATTGATTATTCAAATATAAAACATGATAAAGTTTCCAATAAAGTTGAAAGCAATTTCAAAGTCTCATCATTGACTTTTTTGCATTTGATTATTGAGTTTGATCGCAACAGTTTATCATATAAAATGAAGTGAAACAAAAACATTGCAAAAGTGTTGAATCAATCTAATAATTGAAGCATTTGAGGCTCAGTTATTCAGGAAACTGAAAACTCAGTTGACATGATAATTGGTTGGATAAGTGTGAAAAAACAGGATTGAAAAGTGAAACAATTGGAATTAAATTTTTATTCCTTTTTTTCCATTTACTGTTTTGGGTGAAAGCCAATCAAGGTAAACAATATCAAGTGATTGGAAATGTTAGCTTGGAATGTGCAATGAAAAGTTGAACAATTGAAAATCTAAGGATAATTTTTGTTAAACTAATCTAATCATGAGAGTGACTTTGATAAAGCACATTGTTGTCAATTACCTTAATGTATCATCCCTTAGTTTAACTTTAAATTGTTGACACCAAACTTTTGCATCTGTTTTTAAACTTTCCTCTTCTCGTGTTGATTTGCTTTGCTTTATCTTGTTTTTCATTTCTTTTTTTTCTTTCTGTCGTGTCTTAAACCAGCAACAAGGTGACAAGAAAAGAAAGAGTTGAAAATAACTCGATTTAAGTGCAATTTTTAATCAATTTGAAGCAACAAATTCCAAAATAATGAAGAATAGAAAAAAAACAATAAAAACAATGAATTGATATTTATAGCTGTCACCTTGAAACTGGAACATTTAAAGTTTTTTTGTCAGCTTTGATCAAACGGCAGGCCTTAAGCCTTAAGATGCAATCCAAGCAATTTAATCAACGCTTGATTAGTTATGAACCACCTAAAAAATGCCCACCAAAGTACATTTTACCTTTGTTAACTTGACGATTGTACCTAACCAAAGTACACTCACGGTTAGGCTTGTGACTTGACTCGTGACTAGGTGGGTGGAAGGCTCAAGCTTGACCGTCTAACTAGCATCGTCTAGGATCAAGTAAGACTCTATGAGGGTCTAGGGAAAGTTGACCCAACAACATATGTAATTTTGATGGGGCAAAAAGCGCATTTGCAGCTTCATTTTTTATTCAATCCTATTGATTGGGAATGTTGAACATAAAATTTCACTCTGTTTATGCGTTCAATTTATTTTCTCATTACTAGACTCATAGTTAGATTCGTGACTCGACTCGTAGCTAGGTGGTGAACAGCCTCGAGGTTGACCGTCTAACTTGCATCATCTAGGATCAAGTAAGACTCTACGGGGGTCTGAGGAAAGTGAATGTTAAACATAAAAATTTTACTCTGTTTATACGTTCGATCGATTATCGATGGTTAATAGTATAATGCGGTTTACTATTGCATGATGCCTTGTATTGACCATTGAAATCTCTTTTTCTTGTTCACTCAATTGATGGATGAATTACATGAATGAGACAATGATGAGGACAATCATAATCATAATCAGAATGATCCTCTTAAGAGGAGAGCGTAAAAGGATGAAGTGAAAAAAGTATAAAAAATAGCCAACAGAGAAACAGAAAGAAACAAGAAAAGTTATCGTAAAAGTGGTTAATATGTTAAATGATTCGGAAAAGCAAACCAATCTTGCATGGTCCAGATCGTTTGCTTGATCATTGGCAATGAGGATCATGGAGAAGAAGAAGAAGAAGAGAGAAAAAGCGTCAATAAAAAAAGAAATGAAAAGGTTTTTGTTTGCCTTTGTTCAGAAATAATCATTATTTCGTGAAACAACTCAAAGAGAAGAGTTGAAATTTTCAGTTTTGCACATTTTATTATAATGTTGACTAGAAAATGATTATTAGAACAATGCTTTTCATCGACAATTTTCACCTTAATCCTGATTATTTTACCAATCAATTGTTTATTGAAACATTTAATCTCAAGATTAACTCGATTCCCTTGATTGCATTGATACAATAATGGGAATAGCAAACATTGAGAAAAGATCTTTTTGGTTACAAGTAAAAATGTTTCAATGAATGGAAGGGAAAAAAGAAGAAAAAAAACAAAATTTGTTTTTTTCTTCCTTACTTTTCTTCTTTCTAGTGGAGCTAACTTTTTCTCTCTTTCACATAATTCAATTGCAATCCCTTGATGAAGATGAAAATTTACATTCAACTGATTGAGTTTTGGTTGGTGGTGAATAGAGATGAAGCTGGGACAAGAATTTTGTCACGTTTAGCAAAGTGAAAAGCTTTTATTAGGCAGACACCAAGTCATGGGAACACAGGATAGAGTGGAAAAAAGTGGAAAAAAGAAGAAGAAAAAACATAGTCTTGAATGAAACTGAGACTTGGAATGAAAGAGGAAGATGAAGCAAAGCTAACAAAAAAAATGAGTGAATATCTAACTACAGATATAAGTTATATTTAAACCTTGGATTGGCATTGTAGTGGAACCAATGTTGATCAAGTGTAAGTAACAAATTAGATAACACCTAATTTAATTTGAACCCATCGATGGCATGGAATGAGCTGCAAGCTTGCAAGGTGAAATGAGATGATGAGAGTGAAGATGAAGAGGAAAAAAGATGGAGAAGAAGAAAAGACGAAAGATAATTGAGCGAAAAGGAAAAAGAAGAAGAAACAAAAACATGAAATGTTAAAGGTAATTGTAGCTCATTAATATCAACTTAACTGATTTTTTCTCCTTCAACATTAGACACTAAATTTTCTTGTCGTTTATCGGTAGTCTTTTGATTTCTCGCTTTTGTTCAGTTCATTTTCCACTGTTTCATGTGTAAATATTGTTTCATCGCATAATGTTACTTCATCAGGCAATGCATTAAAATCTGCAAATTTACAACTTTTTATGAATAAAGCTCAACTTCCTTGCCACGGATTCATTGCAAGGCTTCATTGACGGTTACGGGGGCTTAAGGCTGTTGCTAGTCTTTAGTTGAACTGAATAGAGCAACTTGGAGCTTGATGCAGTAATTGCATCTGTAATCTGGTAATGAGCAAATCAATTAACTTTATTGTTCAGGATTGTGGTACGCTAGCGAGCCTCGGTTGTTTTGTCATGCTTTTCATTAAAGATTCAAAAAAGATCAGAAATTTTTCGACGAGTTCAAAAATTATTGTGAACAGACAAAAATTTATCAATATCTTTTAGGAAAACTCTTCGACTTTGCTTTTATCACGTTTTGTTTTCACTGAATACAATATTGTATTAGAAAATATTTTTGTTTTGGTGCAATTCTGTCTTTAATATTGTCTTGTCTTGGATTGCCTTTTGCTTGCGCTGGATTTGCTTTTCAATATTCACTGAAGAAAGAGATTTGTTATTATTATTTGCTTGTAATTGGACGATTAAGGTTAACATTTTTGCAAAAGCTCTATGAAGCGACCAGTAAGATGAAGTAGATAATGATGAGAATAAGTAAAGTAGGAATTGAGAATAATTTCTCAAGATAATTCTGTGATGATGATAATCGAATACAGAGGAAAATGTTTCCCATGTAACTATTTTTACTTTTTATTTCTTTCTACTTTCCTTTTTCTTCTTCTTCTTCTTCTTTGTCTGCCTTTTCCTTTTACTGTTGTTTTTGTTGTTATTGCAAGTTTATTTGAACAGAATGCAAATAATCTAACCTTAAAACTGACTGGGAATGAGTTGAAACAAAAACTATCATTACACTGAATACTTGGGATTCTCAGTTGTTTAATGCTATTCAGTTACCAAGTTAAAGCTCAATTGACTTTGCAAAGCATTTAATAGATTGGCGAATGAAAATAAAGAGCAAAGATGAAAAGATTTTAATTTAATGTAAAAGTCTAAAGACCAATGAACGAAAAGATGAAACAAAAATTATGACAATCATGACATGAACCAAAGGTAAAACAACATGAATTGTAATTAGTTTTTTGGTTAAATTTCGTCAAATAATTTCCAATTGGAATGATTTGTAGATTCAAAATTGTAGATTCTCCAAATCGATTTGTAGAGACATGGAAATGAACTTGTAATGAAACTTGAAATGATTAACTTCACTGCATTATATTACGATGCAATTATTGTTTCTCATCTAAACGAAAATTTGAGCTTGTTGCATTATTAAATCAATTAAATTTTTTTGTTACCATTGACTTCAAGTTCTTAATCGTACTCAAAATACGAAATTAATAATTGATTGATTTAAAAGTAACTCTGATTACCGACAATCAATAATAACCTAAAACTAATTGTCTCACAAAATTGACCGAAATATTGAATGTGTTACAATAACTATAAGTTTTGTCTTATTATTTATAATTATTATTATACGTTTATTGAGCATTGAGCTGGGTTTATTGGAGTTTGTTATCAGCACGATAGCTTTCAACCTCTCGTCTTAGAGTAGGAGGAAGTCTTCTAGTATCTAAATCATTTTTTAATACAACTTGTAATGCCATAAAGCACAAGTTTCTGTTCGTATCAATAACGAATAGATCATCCAGCTCCATTAACTGATCTGCTTGATCTTTTCTGGTTTTTGGCTCTGGGCATCTTCCTCCGAAAAGGTAGAGAAACGAGTTTACAGCAACACAACAATTTCCCTGTCGACCACGGGGAGGCTCCTGCCCGATAGTATTTACAGGTGTCCATGAATAGGTTTTAGGATCAAAGACATTAAAGTCGTCGTAATGTTCATAGGTAATGTCATTGTAACCACCGAAGATCATCATCTTGTTGTTAATCACTACAGCTGAATGGATACTTCTAGCGTACGGCTTGTATCCGGCAATTGCTGGTTTAGATAAGGTCATCTTCTCAGTATATAGTTCCATAATATCATTGTCATAAAACGGGCACTTCAATGAGCGGCCACCAAAAAGGAAAATTTTATTGTCAATTGTCACACATGTCATGAAATGTTTTGCCAGTAAGTAAGAATTTAGCTGATTTAAATTTTGCCATGTACAAGTTTTCAATTCAAAACGGAAAACAGTATTGGCAAATTGGTGTCTCTCAAACCCTCCGAAAACGTACATAAATCCTCCAGATGTACATGCAGCGTGATCCATTCGAGCTCCTGATAAAGAAGAAGATTATTCAAATTAATTAATAAGATCATTAAGGAAACAAAATTTTTACCTGGAATCGTCCCTGTAACTTCATTGGCTAACCAAGAGCGCCTGTTTGTATCAAACATGAAAATTTTGTTGCATGCAACATAGTCTCGGCAACCACCCCACAGATAGATAATGTTGGCTTTTGCAACTACAGAATGACCATATCTCATGAATGGGACATTTGCAGGATCTCCTGAAAAAAGCGAAAAAGTAAATATTAAGTGAATATTAAGTTAATAAAATGATATGTAAAATAACCCAACAACTTACCTCCATCAGAGTATTGGATCTCTTCCCATCTTAATGTGTGCATGTCAAGGGTGTAAACAACAATGGGTCGCTCGTAGGAATAGTCATCGGTACCGGCGAAATTGTAGAATCAAAATGGAAACTTTGACAATCCAATTTTTCATCTTTTCACCAAATGAGTGTTTCATGATGAAACATTTGAAACGTCAAATTGAAAAATTTTGCTCATTTTATGCTTTCCAAAGCAAGTCAAGTATTCAATGATTGTTATTTAAAGGAATTGAATTATTATTATTATTATTACATTTAAAGCCATAAAAGTGTTGCAAGAATTGTAAATCAATAACATTTATTACAGAATAATATTCAAGATGATTTCCCAAGTTGCATTTTTATCGATCATTTACTTTTTGTTTTCAAATTTTATTCAACTTTTCCTGTGACAACAAAAAAGGGTTTACTCAAACAGCGCATATTAATCCTGTTTACCTGTATCGACAAATATTGATGTGAAAAAACTACATTTTTTTCCTTCTTTTGCAATTCTTTACATCAATTGAAATAATGTTGAACAAGACCTTTTTTTGGTTGAATGTGCAACAGCTAATCAAAATGCTGGAAATGATAATTAGTTTAATAATCACACTCAGCGTTAATGTAAATCATACTTTTGTTATTTTTACTCACAATTGCATTTTCAGTTTAATTAATTTTCTCATCTGTTTACATTGATAATGTCTGGAGTGACTGGGAGGGTTAAACTAATAACCAAGGAAAAGGCTTGAATATGTTGCTTCAACATTTTCACTGGCTACAATTGACTAAGATAAACTTTGCCCTTCTTTTGTGAATAAATTTATCAACTTGTTCGTCAGTTGAAATGCATCATGTTGAGATGAAATCATTTTCCCAGTTGATAACCTTAAGCTAGACTAAACAGTCGACATTTTATCATAAAAGTGAATACTGTAATGTACGTGGAAATTTTAATCTAGAAAAGTTCTAAAATTAGAGTCTGAAAGTTCTGTAAACATGGAAAATGGCATGAGAAAGTGAGAAAAAGGAAAGAAATGGAAAAGAAGAAAATTTGACATTATTTGGATTATATCCTTAAGGCAATGTAATCATGTTGAATATCATCTTTATTTTCAGAAAGTAAAAAGGTTTCTTACAAAGGATAACAGGGAATGAATTCAACTCCCAGTGTTGAGAATAAAAAGTCTCAGCATTTTGTTCCAACTTTTGTTTCGCAAGCATTTTACATGAGAAACATTTGCAAATTGCTCAATAATCAGCACAAGAGGTGAACAATCAAGGCCATGCATGTGTTTCATGGTTGAGAGAAGAAAATTTTATCATTGAAATTCCATTCAATTTGTGGATAATTCAACTCTCGGAATTCAAGGGATTGACAAAATCACACTGCTCAAGTTGATAAATTATTGAAGTTAAATTCAAACATTCACTCCCAATGCTTACTCCCAGTCTTCACTCCCTGTTATTCAATATCTCTTGTAAAGAATTTTATGCTGATATTCCAAGTTCGAAATGTAAATTTTAAAATTCTCTGATATTCATGTGTATATTAATGAAATCATTCCATCGATAGTTATCCTTCCCTGTTGAATATGCATTTAATAATTTATGATGGTTGAAATTATCAGTTTCTCTCTTTATTTCAACTATCAATTTATCCTCATCAATCTTGCTTGTTATTTGCAGTGATTTTGATGGAAAAATTTGATGGAAAAATTTCTCTCTCTCTTTTGCGATTCCATCAGTTATCGAGCAGAATGCTGCCCAATTTTACAAAATTTTCAACATTCTTTCATCATTCACGCTCCCAATCTGCAATTATCAGGTGAACAAAATTCATTTATCACTTTCTTATTCAAAGAATGCTGGGTTTTGGGAGAAATGAAAAGCAATCTTTTTCCTTCTGAACATTCATTTGAAATTCTTTTTTTTATCAAAATGGTTTCATCTTCATTATTACCGCCAACTCTCATTGTACAACAACCAGTTCAGAATAAACATGGAAAAAAGACATTTTATCCCGGAACTATTTCACCAACCAGACGAGAAAAGAAAACAAAAAACTCAGAAACGGAAATGATGCCGGTTTCCGTCTTTTGCTCTTTTCTTTCAACATTCATTTCTCACTTGCTCCTTCAACTCACTCCAACATAATCTTATCTTAACAATCTTTACGTTTTTTTCCTCTCCTCATCAGAATTATAACTTCTTTTCAATTTGATCATTTCGTATTTCAATTCATTTGAAAAGAAAAGTAGAAAGAATGAGAAAAAATAAATTTTTTATTCTCTTTCCCAATAAAGTCATTCGTATTCCTTACATTTTTATTGCTCCCATTAACATTTTCATTATTATTATGCCTTGTGCTTTTGCCGCCTTCAACTCCCAAACGTTCATCCAACCATTTTCATCTTTTATCAGCATCTAATCAGCAAGTGTATCATTCAAGTTTTGTGTGCTTCACCTGCATTTTCAACCTGAATATGTTGGTCTTCATTAATTTACCTCTTGAACAGTATAATACAATTTATCTGATTGAATAACAAAAAAGTAAGAAAAAAAAGTGTCTCAAGAGAAGTAAAATATTATCATGAATAGCATCAACATTAAAAGATATTCACCAAGATAAGCACATCTTTTATACTCTTCACTCAAATAATACATTTTACAGTTTACCAATTATTCCATATGGTAATTGTAAGTGCAACCATTCTCGAACTATAAAGGCTCAAAATGAAGAGAATTATCGGCAATTCGAAAAAAAATGTTCAACGATTGATGTTTACCAAACATTTGATGCGGTGAAAGCTGAGTTTCATCTCTAGCTCTCACGGTCACAGAAAGCATTGGGTTTAACTGAAAATCGAACTGATCTTTTGTACAGAAACAGAGAACTTTATTTCACAAAATAAGTGCATTTTCTGGTTGATCATCAAAAGTGAGTTAAGCTGGACGAAAAAAATCCGACTTAGTTGTGCAAAAGGCGATCGAAGTTTCAACTTCAAATCAGATTCACAGGTTAAATGATTTTATCGATGACTAAAGTTGATTCTGATAAACAGTTCATTTACAGATTTGTATAGAGTCAACTTGACTCACAGTGCTCATCAAAGTGTCATTAATCTGTGAAGAGACACAACTTATTATTTTGTCTTTTCAATTCGCATTTTTTTCGTCTCAAAGATTTTAAGATTTTTTTGCCTTATTATTGCAACAAGAAACTGATAAAAAATTTGATCCTAAAAGTGATTATTAAAGATGACTAGAGTTGATTCCATTTTAATTAACAGTTTGAAAGTGAAATGAAAGTTGAACTAATTGGCTTGTTCAGAGTAACAATGTTTAAAAGTTGTTTTCTCATCATTGATAAACTTGATCATTATCCAAGCTTTATTACCTTCATTCCGTCTCAATCTAAAGTAAGAAAAGATATTTCATTTTGGGTGAAATGAGAAAAAGAAGTGAAAATAAATGATGAAAATTGACTAAAGTAAATGATGTGAAACAGTGAAGAGAAATGAAACTGTCACTTGTGATTCTGATTGATTTTCATGATTATTTTTGATTACATACACCTTTGTAAACAGAATTTACCTTTTCTTTCTTTCTTTCCTTTTTCACCGTCAATCTAATCATTCACAATAATCTTTCAAAGCAAATGATTTTGCATGCAAAGTAATTGCAAGATGAGCGCAAGTTGCCTTTGAAAGTATAATGGGAAAAGCATTGAAACAAATGCAAGAAAAAGTTATCAATATAATAAAAGATCAACTGGATGAAAGATGGAAAAGGGTGCAAAAAGAATGCCAAAAAATGAATGCAAAAGTGTATTTACAAATTAAACTTGAATCACCATGAAGTCCTGATGATGCCAATGAAAAATAATATCTATATAATCATTAGGATAAAAGGATTTTCAAAAGACTGATAATCTTTCTTCACTTCGAATTTTTTTTCGTTGCGTTTAACCAATCTTTTTTGCCTCTAATGATGTTGCATGATGATGGTGATGAAAGTGACAAACAATGATGTGCAAAATTACATTAAATAAATGGACATTATCAAGCCGAGAATTTGACAGACTGACCTAACAAGTTGAAGAAGAGAGAGAGAGAGAGAAAGAGAGAAAAAAGTTCATTTTCTTCATATTTGTTTTGACCATTTTTACCTTTTTGATTCGTGTTAATCTTTGTCAGGTAAAGTTCAATCAACATGTAAAAGTATAGACAAATGATAATAAAGTGCATTGAATGAAAGAGCTACAAATCAAGTGTAAATATCAAAAAGTTAAAGAGAGAAAAGCCAAAAATTAGTTTTCCTTTTAAATTAAGATTCTGCTCGAATCACAGATCACTTGATGATGAATGCTGATTCGGGTTCGGATGTTGTCTGTTGCAGCCTATTTCGTCCATGTTCCAGGTCTGTGCACCTAATGAAACTTTTATGGTAAGCAATGCTGACCAACGTCATCTTAGCTTTTTATGTCGCTAAGAACAAATTAAAAGCCAGAATGTTTCCTGTTTTTGGCTGATTATCATCACTTTTTGATATTTCAAGATCACACTTTTCCACTTTGGTATCTGTGAATTATCATCATGCTTGATTGTTGCTCGTGTTATGTCATGATATTGTGTTTTTCTGGTTTTGTTTCTAATTCTTCTTTTCCTTTCAATTGTTATCATTTCGATTACATGAAATGTCCATTTATCTTGACTTTTCTTTCCACTCCTCATCACAATTCATTATTCAGCTTTTTTGTTGTTATTTCCATCATCATTATTGTTCCATCCATTTGTCAAAATTTTCCTCTTTCCTTCACACTGTAAATCACAATGTTAATTATCATTGTAAATACCTTGTTAGATAAACTATTTTTATTGAATAATTACTTTTGCTTGGTCAATGTTATTTTTTTGTTGTTTCCCTTTATCTGTTTGCCTTTTTTAGCTGCTCTTTACTGCCACTCTTTCCTACAGTCAACTGGATATTATTGATATTGATTGGCTTTTACTTCATTACATAGTAATTTATTAACCATTGACACTTCATTATCTACATTCTGATTTATCTCGATAAAATCAACTCTATACTCAAGTCCAAGTAGAGATGGGCGATAACATTGATTACATCTATGCATAGATCATCTTGCCAACAATTATAGTCGATCAATTTATGCAACAATCGATAAGCTTCACGCGAGTCAAAACCACAAAATGCGATTTCATGTTTAGGCCCAAAATTATCAAAGGAAATAGTTGTAACTTTGACACTCCAGAGCTAAAATACTTCACCCAATCCGTGACTTCAGTACCATGCAAAAGACTACTTTATGAAGCAGAAATTATTCCTAGAAAAATCGCAAACTTCAAAAATGAAACTTATTTGAAAATTGAAAGTTTCAACATTTATCTTTGAGTTTCGACTAAGCATCGATTATAATCGATTTCATTACACTAATCTAGAAATCGATTTACTGATTAATCGATAGTCGAATAGATTCACCTCAACTTTAAGAAAGATTCACTTGGCGACCACGGCAGGATGAGTATCAACATATCTCAGCCTTACCTAAAGATATACTGTCTTTGAGTTAGGTTAGTCAATTGCATGGTGATTACCAGATAAAGTTGAACACTTCATCCTGCCGTGGTCGCCAATTTCACGCTCGTTCTCAAAACGTCAGTCCATTTTCCAAAAATTTTCGCCAACTTTCATTTTCTTTCACTGTTTCCGGTAAAATTTTTTGGTAAATAAAAGATTTATTTTCTATTCTCTGCTTGATAAAATAACCTTTCTTTCATCATCTTTATCCTCATCATTGTCTTTCTCAATGCTTCCAATGTGCACAACTCAAAAGTCTCTGTACAATTGAAACAAATATAAAACTGAGCGATAGTTATAATAATAAAAAGCAATTCCATTGAAGAAGAAGAATCCTTTTCTCGTTTCCTCCTTGCCTTCCCAATATTATCTCAACCTGGAAAACTTGAATTTCAACCTTTCTATTTTCATTGGATTCTATTCACTTCCACTCATTGACTTATCGAGAAGCATAAAAAACAAACTCATCCTATTCAATTCAACAATAAACATGATCATTTCCAACATTTCCAACTATTTCGCTTCATGTAAACCTTGAACATACTCTCTTCTCATCACCTTTACTCGCTTACAATGGATACATTTTTTCACTCGAAAAGTCATCGTTCCAATTAGCATTCATTTTGTACAATAAAACCAAGTAAATTGATTAACTTGACAGACTAGAAAAGAGTATAAATTTTCATTTAAAAATGTCAAAATGATGTTTTACTTTCAAGTTGAATTTGATTGAATGGACAACATTCATTTTCCCATTGAATTCTCATGTGTTTATCCACTGTCATTTAATTGCTTTTTTACCAATCATCATTGAACACTCAACTGTCATCATCCATCATCTCTTCCTTTCTCACAATGAAACTCAGTAAACTCAATTGCAATATTTACTTGAACTTTTAACCAAACATTTGCACAAAAACCTGTTTAATTGTCGATAGTTTTTTTCAAAGGAAATCATTGAAAAGTAAAATTCATTAAAAAACTTGAAGATTTGCAAAGTTTTCAAATGCTGAAAAGCTGTGAGCATCAAGTGATGAAAAGGTGAAAAGGTGTGAGCAATTAACTTGCAATTATTGAAAATCAATGGCGAAATGATGGA